TGCTTAAAAATAGGTGTCACCCCACGGAAGGGATGTGTGTCGATACAGCTTATATTATTATTATTTCGTATAATACGTGTGTTACGAGGTATTATAGGTACATAATATAAAATGTAGTTCGAGAACGTATCGTTTACACACCGCTTCCCCTTTCATCGTCCGGCGACACGTCAACCGCATGCAACCCACCCATTCCATACAGTAGAGGTATGTATCTATGTGCTGTCCATTATAGTGTATATATACAGACGCAGAGAGCCGATGACGTGTATTATATTATGTTTAAGTCTTCACCGAAGGAAAACCTTTTGGTGTTCTACGCGGTGGACGTTAAGCGCACACACGCGATACAATTTTACTTTAAATACTCGTGTGTGTGTGTGTGTGTGCGGGGGTATATAATATGCATATCGTGTGTACGGCGAGCGACAAACGTAAAACACGTTGACTACGATTAGCAGTTGTCGGGTGGCGACGGTCAAAGACTTCTAAAGATTACAATATAGTAATAATAATAAAAATCATCATTTATAGACCTACGCTATTTTGTTAATATAAAACGCAATAACGTTCAAGTTGACACGGCGCGCGCACACAACCACGTCAAAGGTGATATTAGAATATACTACACACCATATACGGCGCGTTATTATTACCTACACTATACATCGGAAGCGGAACGAGAGCATGAAAAGATCAATGAACACGAAATGATTGTGTTACACGTCATTCACCGATATTGGTATGTTATTCTACGTCGGATAGTGATGCAACGCAAACGAAACGAAGCTAAGTGTCAATTTTTTTTGTTATTAATAATTAAACAAAATATGTAGGCGTCACGTCCTCTTAAAATACAGTTTATGTGTATGGGTAGTATTATGTAAAATATTGTCCCACCGCCGGTAAAATAATTAATAATATAATTATATAATATTTTATTCCGTGGTATATAATTATATTTTATAGAAGTAGGCTTTTCATAGGTGTTTATGGCTCCAGGGCCGTATTTAGGAATTTGACACCAAGGGACAACAAAAAAAATACGCCTCATTAATCATTATTCAAAATRCAAATTTAAATTATAAAAAAATTAGCCGCCTTCTCCTACTCAGACGCCCGGGGCCGCAGTACCCTGTAGCTCCCCCCTAAATACGGCCCTGTATGGCTCCAAAGTTTTTGCACTGAACAAAATGTATCTGCTAATGCTGAACAAATCATTAAAAATTGCACTAGAAACTTCAAAAATCTTGAACCAAAGAAAATGTATTAATACATAACAAAACGGACCRAGTAACGGCTGACTTTTATATTAGGTAGGTACATAATCGTTYRRAGCCGATGATACCAGAATAGAAGAATGTAGGTTTACATCAGGAAATTATTTTAATAACGTTCAAAAACAAGATATTTAGTTAAATGGTCATGGCAAATAAAATCACAGTATAATAGTATCATACAAACATAAATAATATAATATCTGTAGTCGGTGTTTGTAAATTACATTTATTATTTTTAACTTAAGTATTTTCATATTTCACTATTATGGTTTATAAACTAGAGGTGGGCCGAACTCAAAAATATGATCTTGAACCTATTTCGAGTGAGCCTTTCAAATTTTCAAACTWTAAACTTTTCGTTCCCTTTCTACTAATAATACTATAAAATTTACTTWAATATTCAAAAAGTACAACAACATTACATAAAATCGAGAAAATTACACTAAAAACAAAACCATAAATTAACTAGTAGGTATTTGCTTAAAAGTGAAAAGTGAAAATTGATTTATTAGGATTATTTGATTGTAGGCAGCTTATTTATCCATACATTATTTACACACAATAAATAAAAATATATATACAAACACAATAACTTCTGATCCCTTTTTATAAATACTCACATCAGTAGGTGCAATGGCTGAAAACCTAACAGTTGTGGGTCTATTTTTTTTCACATTATTTATGAGTCCATCAGTTAAATCTAAGTCAATTTTATAATTTTATGAAATATGGTTAATCTGAAACTGATATATATATATATTTTTTTTTTTTTGATAATAATAGAAAAAAATTAATGAATTTTTGCATATCTGAGATCCAGGCATGGCATTTCTTGTTCACAAATTTATAATGTCCTTAAAAAAAAACAGAACATACAATGAATATCATTAAAAATGTTTATCTCGACGTAAACATAAGGCTTATTAATATAACGTTATATAGGTAGTCTGTTTTAGTGATAGAATTGAATTTTAAATATTTCAAATGTTTATAATATTATAGATGTATCAACGATGGCGACATCTGAAGTATGTTATATAATCAAATAAGTCAGAGAACGGAAAAAGAAAATATTTAAACACGACATCATGRCGAGTTGATAATATTTTAAAACATCATAGTATTGTTAAAAACGTTTGAAAATTTAATACATGGATATTCTGTAAACTAATATTAGCATTAGTAATATTATTGTRTTAGAAGATTGTGACTAGTATYGCATATTTTAGGATCTTATTTTCATATAAATTTTAAATTATAATATTARCAAACGCTTTTCTATACATCATCGTATTGCTGTTAAKAACACAACATTATAAAATATTATATTGACACATTGTAAGCCACCGAGCATTAAAATAATATAACAAGTTTTATAAAAACAAGTCGTGATAAACAACAATGTCCATCAAACATACATAATATAATGTAATATTATATAATATAATGTGCGTATTTTCGACATCGAGGCCGATTTTATGGATTTTTCTAGACTACCTCGCTAGTTTTACAACGAGTACTTACCTCCTGTCACAACCAATTGATTTTTATGCATTATAAAAACACAGAAGTGGATTTATAGTTTATATGCTTATAAAGCTTGTGAATTGCGTGCCAAAAGGTTAAAAGCAATATACTTGGTATGAATAACACATTTTTAATGTTGAGTTCGTATTTAAGATAATAATAATTGCACAGAGCACTTGTGATTTTGGTTGATCGTYGGAGCTTCGGGACTTATTTTGTATTGTATTAATTTTCCGACATTTTCTGCATCCATGGATTTATTTTATTATAATCAATTTTAGTTTATACGATTATATAATTTTATAGAGGTTTTTTCATCGCAAGTTATAAAAACACCAAAGTATATGAAATTAGATGTCAAATAAAGACAAAAACTTATTRAATCTGGAAAAATATGACATTAAACATAATCTAAAGTTAATTTCGATTTATAAACATAAAAGATTTTACGTGGAAAACAATAATTAATCGTCTGTGTCGGTCAGCCTGATGCGATGCACCAACCGTTTACTAGAATCCGATAAAATACGAGATATAATATTAAGGTCCTAACTTAAATGTATATACTATATACTATAATATATTATTATTCAGATGGATGTATGTATCAATATAATAGAGCTGTGTTGGGGGAGGGGGGTGTGGCATAAGGACAACATGTGTTTTATTTCCTACATTAATTTTGATCATATTGTTTCACACAGTTCTAGAAAGTAAAAAAATATAAATACTGTATTATAACGCTGAACGTGTGCAAATAAAATTAACACTTAGATGCTTCACGAGTTATATTATTTGTATAAAATAGTATTAGCATAATATGTACATATTATACTACAGCAGTGCATTGTAGCGTAACCAAAATTTTAGATTATTCTAGGGAGTGGTATTTTTTTTCCGAGCCCAAAGCTTGGAAATTTAATACATTTTTACTCATTAATTGTTCTAACAGACATTTAATATTATTAAAAATAACTGGTGCAATATTATTTTTTCATTATATTCGTTTGAAGTTAACATTTTAATCTTTATTATGGAATTGAAAATTCATACGATTTTTGGTTTTAATATCTAAGACTTGAAAAGATAATTCATATTTTCTCCCAAGTTGTTCTTASYGAAAATGRTAATTTAAATTTATACATAAGCACYTGAAGAATTTTGGACCTGGAGATATCCGTAGTCATTGATGATTGTAGAACAACRAATTAAARAGTTTAACTTTTG